TCCCTACCATGATTTTACTACCTCTGGTGACAGCTATCCAACCCTAGGAACACTTCCATCTATAGCAGTCCCTCCAAAATAGACTGCAGAGATGGTTTGTGGGAGGTAAACTCTCTCAGCTTTTGCTTATCTGGAAATTGCTTAATCCCTCCTTCAAATTTAAATGATAATCTTGCTGGATAAAGTAATCTTGGTTCCAGTCCCTTCTTCTTCATGGCATTTGATACATCATGCCACTCTCTTCTGGCCTGTAAGGTTTCTGCTGAGAAGTCTGATGTTAGTCTGATGGGCTTTCCTTTGTATGTGATCTTATTTCTGCCTCTGGCTGCTTTTAACAGTCTGTCCTTATCCTTGATCTTTCCCATTTTAATTACTATGTGTCTTGCTGTTGTCTTCCTTGGGTCCCTTGTATTGGGGGAATCTGTGGACCTCCATGGCCTGACATACTATGTCTTTCCCCAGATTGGGGAAGTTTTCAGCAACTACCTCCTCAAAGACACTTTCTATCCCTTTCTCTCTCTCTTCTTCTTCTGATATCCCTATAATGCAAATATTGTTCCACTTGGATTGGTCACACAGTTCTCTCAATATTCTTTCATTTTTAGAGATCCTTTTTTCTCTCTGTGCCTCAGCTTCTTTGTATTCCTCTTTTCTAGTTTCTATTTCATTAATTGTCTCCTCCACCGTATCCAACCTGCTTTTAATACCCTTCACTGTGTTCTTCAATGATTGGATCTCTGACCTGAATTCATTCCTGAGTTCTTGGATGTCTTTCCATACCTCCATTAGGATGTTGATGATTTTTATTTTGAACTCCATTTCAGGAAGAGTCACAAGGTCCATATCATTTAAATCTTTCTCGGGAGTTGTATTAACAATTTTACTCTGGACAAGGTTCCTTTGGCGTTTCATTTTTGTATATGGTGCCCTCCAGTGTCCAGAAGCTCTATTCTGGAGCTGCTGAACCCCTGAAGCAATGTTGGGGGTCACAGGGGAGCCGTACTTGGGGTAGAAAAGAGCTTTTCCCCGCCTCCTGGCTGCTCTGCCTGTCTCCACTGCCTGAGCCAGTGGGCTGGTCACACAGTTATAAGTTTTTGTCCCAGAGCAGCCAGATATGGATCCCTGCTTTCCACAAGCAGCCGGAATCCCATTCTCCCCAGGAACTCTGCCTGTATTAACTTTCCAACCCAGTAGTCATGCAAGTCTCATAAAAGCACCATGAAATGTAGGTTTGTGCTCCCAGAGCAGATCTCCAAAGCTAGGTATTTAGCAGTCCCGAGCCTTCCACTCTCTCCCTGCTCCGTTTGTCTTCCTCCCACTGATGAGCTGGGGTAGGTGAGGGGCTCGGGTCCCGAGGGGCCACAGCTCTGGTATGTTTCCCCCTTCGCTGAGGTATGCTCTTTTCTCCAGGTGTGTGCAGTCTGATGCTGTCCTCTTTCCTGTTCCTCTCTCAGGATTAGTTGTGCCAATTAAATTTTCTAATTGTATCCAGTTTTAGGAGGAAGCCTCTGTCTCTCCTCTTACACCGCCATCTTTTCTCAACTATCTTTTTTAAATGAACCATTCAGAAACCTCAAAAGCAGTAGAGTAAACTTTAATTATTCTATTATTCTAATTAAACCTTAATATATATATATATAGATATTTGGTGTTCCTGAATTTCTATTTTTAAATATTAAATCAGTTAGAAGAATACTCAGCCTCTCCAGGGGACCAAAAATTTATGGGAAGGAATTTTTGCAATACTACCACTACTTGCATTCCAGACTTCTGTTTTATTTCCTCTGCTGGGACATTTTTTTACCTCACTCTATCTGTCTCACAAAACAGAGAGATTGCAAAAACTATAACAATAGGGTAAGACTATTTGTAGTTTCCAAAACATATTAAAATAATAGTAGCATAGCATAGACTTTAGGAACATAGTCCATTTTTTTATTTTATTCAATTTTTTTCCCAGGAAATATCACTTCTATTTATTATGTTGTTATATCTTGAAATATAATATAATTAGGTATTCTTCGATATCTCAGTGTTATATGAAGTGATACAATTACAAATGAATACAGGACAAATCTATAGACAAAGATACCCATTCCCAAAGATATATTTTTCACATGCATGTATAGATATTCTTTTCCTACTATGGAAAATGTTAGATATCTAAAAGAATGCACAGTGTAAATAACAGTTGCTATATTTAAAGTCAATAGATAAATGAGTGGGTAGATAAGCTAAAATTTAAAATGTTTAAATATTTTTATTAAACAGAATAAACAAATCTCAAAAACTGTTTTGAGATCTTATTTTCAAAAAAACAAGTTCTCTAAAATAAGAAAAATGAGAAAATGTTAATGTCATTTATAATGCCAACATGAACTTCTGAAAATTTCATACACTATCAAAATTTAAAGATCATCTAAAACCATTTAACTACCAATTACATTGTAATTTTATTGCTTTTTTGTTTTTTGTATATTTACTTATTAAAGTATAGTTGATACTCGGTATTAGTTTCAAGTACACAATACAGTGGTTCAACAGTTACATACATTATTAAATCCTCACCCCAACACACATTATTAAATCCTCACCCCAAGTAGTGCAGTACTGTCAACATAGAAAGATGTTACCACTGCATTGTAATTTTAATGACAAAATTAAAGAATCATCTAAAGCCATTTAATTACCAATTACATTGTAATTGTAATAACTGTTTTTTAGTAAATTATACTATCTGTCTATCGTGATCTTTCTCATTTTCTCAATTTTGCAACATTTCCATTGCCTTAATTAATTAGCTTGTTAATCAATATTATGAGTATTATGAAATAGTTCTTTACATTTATTCTGTGACTGCTAGATGTAAACAGTACAGTGAGGGACATAAAAGGAATACATCATCTTACCTCATCCATCAGTTGGAGAACAAGGACAAATGAAATAGTTAACCTTGTATTATTCACTGACCTGTCCTCTGAATAATTTGAAACCATTAAAATCACTCTGGATAATTACCTTTGTTTGATTTTCCTTTTTTCCATATTTCCTTTTCCAATGTATCCATAATTTACATTGTACATGAGTTCTTCAAATCCCCATTTCCCTGATTTCTTAAGATTTCTCTACAGTATAGGAGTTTTGGATAGAGGAAAGCTATGTATTGGCTGGATCATTAGGAAGAAGATGGAATCTGAGATTATCTATTAAAGATTTACATTTGTTAAGGGGACAATTGATAATTCATGGCAGAGAAATAAGGCATAAAACCAGTGAGTAGACTTACATGAATGGGAAATAATGGAAATTCAGAAGAGTAGAGTTCAATATGAAAGTCTTAAATTTCAGGGTACTGACTTTGAACTTGGGGCCATTTAGTAGTAAGGTACAGAAGCAAAGAAATAGCATATCTTCAGGATATATATGTCTAAAATGATATATAGAATAGATGGAGATGAAGGATACTTAAGAGAGGCCAGACACTATTGTTTGTCTTACTGACCTGGAGTAATGAAGGCTTTGGGTAGGGTAAGAGAAGTAATAAATGACTTTATTCTATTCATTGGGGGTGGATTTCAGACACATTTTGTGAAGGAAAAAAAATACTGGATTTAAAGATGAATGAGGATTTCAAAGTCTTGGGTGCCTAGAATAATAATGGCCACATTGAGAAGAGGAATATAGCAGGTAAAGTAACTGTGTTGAAGATAAAATTGTCCGTTGTATTTTGGTTTCTCATTAAAAACAACAGCATTTATATGAAATGAATATGCTTAATAAATACACTTAAAATATACAATTTTCCTCTTTAAAATTGAGCTTTTATTTAATTTTAGCATTTTGTGTAGCTTCATTTTAAACTTGGGTGACTAATACAAATAAACGTTTTCTCATGTGAATGTGATTTAATGTGATGTATAACTTTGAAAGTGCCAATTACTGTATTTTTAGAATATGAAAATAGTTGTTATTCAATGTTTAAATTTCCTATTTGGAAAATAAAAATTATTTATTTTATCTTATTCCCAATTTCTCATCTGGGGGCATTTTTGTACCCTAGGGAACATTTGGCAGTATCCGGAGATATGGTATGGTATAGTCTCACGTAGGGATTGTAAGTCACAAGGAAGATTATCATCAGGAGACAGCGAAGTGTACTACAGACTATTTGAAACACTGACAAGTAGCCACCAGAGCAGATGCACTGTTTTACTTAGAAACATACTGGCATTCATATTTTCATATATTGCAAAATGCCTCTACTTTCCTGTTTATATATATTTTACATCAGAATGATAAACCTCAAATCAAAACATTGATAAGACTTTAAAAATACATTATAAATATTAAGTATAATATTGGTTATGAACAGTCAGAGTATCCTAAATAATCAAATAGAGTCTTAAAGATAAAACCAATTTCGTAGGTTTCTTTTAATGAATAAGTGAAGCAAATCTTGCATAATTTTTAGAGTTGGAATATAATGAGCTCAAGAAACTTAGCTACTGCTACAATTATTATTGTATAATTATAAATAGTATAGTATGTAATGTAACTATATTATTTATCATTATATATAAAATTATAAAATAAGAGTTTATAAAATTATATATAAACATATATAATTATATATAATTTATAACAATACAAAATTTTGTAGATAATTGTACATTTTCATCAAGTTCTTATATAACTAAATGACCTGAATTTGGTCTTTGTTGGGTAGATGTCCAAATGAATTGTTAAAGAAATCGCGGGTTATTTAAATAAAGCTATGAGAACATTAACATTTGTGAAAATCATCATTCGCAATTGTTTAAAAATTAAGAATCAATTTGAGCAAATCTGGTTCCCATCAAACTTTTGCCCCTCTCCCTTTGTTTTCCAGGTGTCACGGTGAACACCTATTCATGCTTGGACCCTGGCATACCTGTGCACGGCCGCCGCTATGGCCATGATTTCTCCATCGGATCCACTGTTTCGTTTAGTTGTGACCCAGGATACAGGCTGAACCATGAAGAGCCCCTTCTATGTGAAAAAAACCACTGGTGGAGTCATCCACTCCCAACTTGTGATGGTAAGAACTCATTCAATATGCAAAGTAAGCTGACCCATAAACCAAAAATAAAACAGTCTTTATAAAATGTGGGGCTGAACATAACAACAAATGACCTCCATTCTAAAATTTTTCTGCAGAGACAACTAATCTAAATTTCTTGTGGTAAAGGGAGAAACAGTGAATAAACATAATTTCTTTCCCTGACATTATGTAGGCTTGATTGGCCTAGATTGCCTGGATACTCAAGGTATAGCGTTCTCTGCTCTTAGGCACATGAGCTCTTGTGTTGAGTCCACAGCCCCTAACCGGCTGACTGACAAAGCAGACTAGAAAATGAAGTGGTGGTGACAGTAATGACTGCTAACATTTATCGAAGGTTTACCATATGCTGGCACTGCTACAGGTGCTTTACATATATAACTCAATTTATTGTCAAAATAACTCTTTGAGGTAAATGGCATTATGATCATTTAACAGGGAGAAAACAAAGGCAGACAAAGGTTAAGTGCCTTGCCTTCTATCACCCCACTAGTTAATGGCAGACAGTATTGAAAGTCAAACATCCTAGATCCAGATCCTATGCAGAGAACTCCACTGTTACAATGCCTCCTGCCCACATTTTCCACAACAGTAAAGTACTAAAATTATTTAAAATTGAAAGTATAATTATGGATATATTAATATTTCCTTGGGGATGCCAAGGTTCATTTTAAGAATTTTGTATAAAGTATACATATAGCCATTTAAGTAGTTTATAGAAACTGTGCCTCTTAGAATATGTGACTCTAAAACAGGACATCTCCCTTTTTACTATCAGTTATGTCATATGGAAAGAGTATTTTGAATCCAATTCTATTTTATGTATACTTAATTTTCTGAGTAAAGCATGATCCTTCCTAAATTCATTTTGTTTCACTCTTGACCAAAAACCTTGAACCTGAAGTCAAAAATGGTTCAGTTAGATCCTGCTCTACTTAATAAATTTGAGATCTTATCTTTCACCATGCATTTCTTGAGGGGTCTCTTTACTTCCCCCCTCTTGACCTCAGGTCTGTTCTCCACAGAACAGTTCTTGTCACACAGTTGGTGCTCAATAAGTCTGTATTGAATGAAATAATGGACGAGCTATACTTTTCAGACTTTGGAAAATACTTACTACATTTTGATTTTGCATATATATTTTATTCCCTTTACCTTCATTAATGTTTTTCCTTTTCACTGGAATGCTCCAGCCCTTCCTTAAATGTTCAAAAGCCTAGTCAATCTTTAAGATCATTGACCTGATTATGCTCCCCCTGGAAAAAGCATTTAGGCAAAATCCTGACTTTTCCTAAATCCTGCGGTTCTGTACTTGTTATGCCATTTTTCAGTAATTTATAACCACCTATTGATTCACTAAATCAATATTTGTTAATTATACTGTGTAAGCACTGAATAAATATTGTTGAGCATGAACAAACACTGTCTGTGTTCTCCTTGAGCTAGTGGTTAGTAGTTATACTCCTTTTATTCTTTTTCCTTATTGTACTCTTAAAGTCAAGAACCATGTGTTCTCATGTTCCCTTAACACATATTTTTAAAAGACATTTCCTGATACACAGATATTCGATTACAAAAATAATTTTTACTAGCCACTTTGATTAGATCTCACTCTTGCATATCTCTTTAGTCTTTATCCTAGAATGAGACTTGAATGGCTCCCAGAAATCCAGACAAGAAGGGTCAGGGTAGCATTCCTTTTTTTTGGCCAACAAGTGTCGAGGGTAATATTAATGTCAAAATTCAACCCCAAGTAATGTGTTCTGTGTATTGGGAATACAAGATTGCCATAAGCACTAGAGGTAAATTTGAGGTAATTTGCCTGGTGTGACTTAACCCTTAAGGAACTAGGTACCATTAACTAACATAACTACCCTATATTATAGATAGGTAGGAGGACATATATATGCTGAATTGCCTAAAACAAATCCTGTTTTCACCTTTTGTCCTGGAAAACCAGTCTCAGGCTTCAAGTAATCCAATTTGTTTGATGAACAATGTAGTTATACTATTATTTGGGGGAAATTTAGCACTAAAGAAACTACATGATTAACTCAGGGTTACCTACATCATTAAAAACAGAACCCAAAATTGAAGTGAATGTACTTAAGCTTCATCAGTTTCCTCATTTCTTTTATGTTATTAAGGAAACTCAAGGACAACAATCTTAGATAAGGTTGTACAGTTCAGAGTGGGGAGATCTAGAAATAGGAAAATAACAGATTTGAGACTGAAAACAAACAAAAAAATCATAAAGGGGTTTTTAACAGTTGGCTATTTCCATGCTCCTTTGCAATACTCAAAGGGTTTTGATGGAACTGTCTAGAAATGGTCTGTTGTAGTTATAGACTGTCCAGCACTCACATGGTGTGTATCACCACCAAGGGTAAGGTGTAACTTTACAAATCTGGGTTATTACATTCAAGGGCATGGCTTTTTGAGGAGACTTCAAATATTTTAAAGCTCTAGTTGAGAATTAATCATGTGATAAAGTAGTGATCACATGTGGCAAAAATCAGGGAAGGAAAAAGCTACTAGCCAAGAGACTGCTTAAGATCATGGACTCTGCACTGCTCGTGTTCTGTTTGCTTTTTCATCTGCAAACTGTGAAAAAGTAATCACAGTGCTTTTCTTAGAGTTTTGTTGTGGGGATTAATTAATAAAAATAAAAGTCTTCAGAATCATGACAGTCACATTGTAAATTCAAATGAGTGTTTGGTCTTGCTGTTGTTAAGAATTAGTCGTAGTTGCAATCCATCCTAAGTTTTATTAGATGTAAAATAAAGTACATTTATTTTCATATTTTTAGTTTCATATTTCAAAAGAAAAAAGGAGACCTAAATCATACTCCTTACCCCCTATTTACTGTGAAATTAGGTCTTTTGACTCAGTTCCTTTCAAGGCCTTCATCTGAAACTAATATCCTCAAATAACAGAAATTTCCACTATGTCATAAAAATGCACTCTGTATTTTGTCTTCTAGTTATAATCAAAATAACTGTATAATGTCTATTAATAATACATTAGTTATTGACCATGACTCTTAAATATTCTAATATGTTTATAATTACTTAACTTTATTCATTTATCTGCACAATATCCCTTTAACATCCCACCTTCAACACAGGTATGATGGGTGCAGTTCACACACAGAAAATCCCCAAGAAATTTCCCAACTACAGGAAGAAGATTTGACAAAGTTCCTTTTATTCAAAAAAATGCCAATGTACAGAACAGCTTCCCCACTACAACTTGTACACATACCAGATACACACACATGCATCCACAGAAGCACATCTGATGTACTTACTAAAAATTTCACATCTCTCTTTTATGGTACTTTTGTGTTTAATTAATTAACTAATTTAACTCTTTTAATTTTGATCCTTCTGTTTACTGAGTTTTATGTATAAATTATAGGCCTTTCAGGTAGAGATTGTTGGTTTTAATCTAGTAGAGCAGTTTTACTCATCACATTTTATTCAACAAATTCATACCATGCTGTATTGGTGGCTTTTTTGTCTGACTCTCTCAATGGAGAATAAAATGGAATACAGTTTACTAGGAATAAATTGACTTGTAAAAATAATAAAACAGTCCTCTGTCAAGAAGTAGAATTAATTACAAAGAAAGTAAAAACAGGTCAACTTTGCACCACCATTATCAGCAAGATATATCAGCAAGGAAATGGTGGTATACCTAGTTCTTAAAATGATCACAGAATCACAATGGGACTTTTGTAAATATTGAAAAAAAGGAGGTTCAATAAGAATAATTATCAGCAAAGGCCTGTGCAGCCTCTAGACAGGAGCTTAGGATACCAAATCATGCATATTACTGTAATGTCCTGATAATAAGTGAAATTGGAAGAATGTGCTTCTCTTGCTCTCAGGAAGGTAGCCTGTTAAGACAGCCCCAAGAGGGATACCTTATTTTACTTCTGGGTGGAGTAAAAGAAATTACAAAAGGAGTCATTTTTAATTTTGTATGTATATGTAAGTCTAAGCCTGAACGCTTAAATACATCTAGGAACTGCAAACATTATTTCTAGTCAGATGTGGAATACAACCAGATGGCCTCAACTCTTCTAAGCATTGCTACTTAGAAGAAATTGTGAAAAAGAATAAGGCCAAAACCTGCCCTTCTAGTGTCCCAACGGTGTTTAACAAGAATCATAGGAGTCAGGTCATATGTTGCATTCACAGTTTTTTCTGTCCTTGCCCATAATAGTTGGCATCTTCAAGTGAACAGAACACAGAGTGAACACCTCTCTGTTTCTACTAGAATATACATTTTTACCTGGCTGTATCTTTGTCTCTTTTAATTTTTAATACTAATAAAATTATCTGGCATACCATAACCACTGATCTGTTGAATGCGGTAGAAGACATTGTAAACTGCAATTTGCTCTTGAGTAAATGAACACTGAGTTAAGTTTAATTTCTTTGACCTCAGTTCATGAGCATTTATTTATTTTCATTATCTTGGAATATTTACTTAAAATTATATATCCTGTCAAAAATTCCTTTTTATTCATGATATTTCCCAGAGAAATGCAGAAGTACAGAAGCAGCTTTCAAAAATTTTCATAGCTTAGTTCACTGTTTTAGATAGAATTCTTTGAAGAATGATACACATCCCTTTTAGGAATCTAAAATAAATGGTTTTGTAAAGTTAATTAATTTTTTCGAAGCATAATAGAAGAGGGGCTGCTAAGTAATTAATTACTCATGTTTAATTTATGACCAATTTATGCAAATGTTCCTTGTAATTAGAAATGTGTAAGATAACTATGCACATCAAATTCAAGTGTGGAATTTGAGCTACATTCTCTCGGGGCCAATATTAAGTCTCAAAGGCTATTACATGCCTTTTTCTTCTCTAGTGCTGCAATGGATGAAATGACTTCCTAGTACTGAAAGAGGCCTTTACATACTCCTGTTATTACCAGGAAATAGCTTAAGTAAAGAAAATCAGTTTCTGTTTCAAGAGAGGAGAGAAGAGATTTGTTCAGCCTGTGCCTCTTTAACTATGACTGATCATATGACCGTATTTCTTTGTATTTTCAGCATTATGCGGAGGAGATGTTAGAGGGCCTAGTGGAACAATCTTATCACCTGGTTACCCAGAATTCTATCCAAATTCTCTAAATTGTACATGGACTGTTGATGTAACCCATGGAAAAGGTAATTTGCCTCATGCAATGATAATTGGGCTATCTTCTGAATTTTCATTTCATCTCTATTTTCATTTCATTGTTCTTTACAATGTCATTTTGCATGAGCAAAAACAAATCAGTACTAAAATACGCTATTACAGAATTCAATTTAAGTAAATGCAGCAGAACATTACATTTACTTTTCTCTAGTATTATAATGCTCCTATGTTTATCATAATAGTAATATGAGATATTTATTTTCTTTTGATAGAGTAAAGTAATGTTATTTGGAATTTTCATGTCAAAAGCTCAAACAGGATGGCTTTTGTCTGTGATACAGTGGTAAAAGTTTGATTTTAAAAGTTCAAAAGGGAATGTGAAGATGCTCTGAAGTGTTGAGCCAATTGTAAAGCAAATGGTACATGGTTATATACACTTGTTTTTAAAATGTATATGATTATTTATTAAATTTTATTCTCCACACAAATTAATAACCATTCTAGGAATATTTGTGTCACAAATGTCCTGTCAGAATTGCAGATACATCTCACAAAATGGAATGGGAGTTTAAAATAGCTTCCTTATATTATACAGGAAAATGGAGGGCTACATACCACTTGCTATGTAAACAGAGGTTTAATTAACACTTCAGGTTTTGCATCTTTGCAGGTTGCAAGTGTTAATTCATCTGCATTTACATGGCAAGAAATGCAGATTTAGATACTTTTAAGAGCCAACAAAATTTGTTCAAAGTACAATTATTCCAAAGTGCAACCAAAGATATGTGAAGGATAATCTCTTAAAACTGAAGAAATCATCAAGCTAATAGGGTTAAGCTTTCACCCATCATGCCAATTTCTCTGCAGGGCAGAAACATGATGAATTGTCCTGGTATTTATTCTTACACTGATGGGAAAACATATTCCTTGGGAAAAATTTTTATATACTTCTAATCGAAAATTATTTTGTGATTGCTGTCCTTGTTCTGCTCTCTGGAGTTAGACAAAACCAAAACCAAAAACAAAAACAAACCAAACTTAATTACTGCCCAAACCTAAAATTCCTAAGTACACCAAGTCACTAGTTTGTGACCACCATGTTTGTTACATCTGCTACCTACCCATTCCCACTCTTATATCCCAACCTTTTCTTCCCAGACTAAATGTTCCCAGTTCCTTCAATTTTTTTACCATTAGCTGATTTATTGATATCACCATTCTAATCACCTTTCTCTAGATGTGTTCAGTTTATTGCTATCCAGGGAATTAATAGTTCTAAAAATGTGTTTTTCCAGAATGAGACACTATATGGCATCATCTAACTCCATGAATTATTTCCATTAATAAAGCCTATTATATTTATTTTCATTAACTTTTTTGCTGCTGCAATTCTTGAGTTGGCAGTCAACTAATTCATTTCTTTAGATTATTGAGACTTTAAAGTCCAATTCCTAAAATTGTGTGATTGTGCAGTTGGTTATTTTTCTATCTTCACTGCAGGCTTCTTTTTTTTTTTAAGTTGATTCTATCAAGGATCAGTGGACCTCTCAAATGCTTTGTAAGGCAAATAGTATAGGTGTTACTTGCATTTTATAGGCAAGAATCTTGAAGTCATTAGAGGTTATTTGTTATACACTCAAAGCCACAGTGCCTGTGAGTGTGGGACCAAGAAACTGAATCTATAACCAATGATTCCAAGTCTAGTGCTCTTTTTTTATGAAACCACAAACCTTTGTGCATACATCTTTATATTTCATTGTCAGGTTGTATTTTTCATCAGCACACCCACTTTCGCTGTTTATTATATCTCTTCTACTAGCTTAACCTTGAATAGATTTTTAATCTTTACCCTGATTCAACAGCCATAGCAGAAGGCAGTGTATGTAGGCTTTTGTATTTCTGCCTATTATATTTCATATTAATTTTGACCCAGAGTTCATGTGAGGAAATTTTGAAGTAACTTACATTACATTTACATTTACATTATGCAGTTTGAATTTCCTTAAAAGTCAATATGGCACCCTCCACAGCATGGTTGATGGCATGACTGTAACTGAACCTAGATTTTCATGATATTTTACCTTTAAGCCTGATATTTTCTGTATGTCTATAAATAACATAAATTGCCTTAATAGGACTTTCTGAATTATCACTTTTACGAGAAAATACTGTGATGTTGATACCAATGACTTTCCCTCATTAGTCCTCAAACCCCATTGCCTGTTAAGATTCTGTGTCTTTGCCTGTCTTCCCCTTTCTTCCTGAAATGTCTATCTTAAAATTGTTCCTCCTCAAACTTCTACTTTTAGAGATCATTGCCTACAGAAGCCTCTACTAACCCCATGAAATATTAGTTACTTTTACTTTGTTCCATTATTGACTTACATTAACCAGTTTTATAACAGGAGAATGTGTTTGAACTTTTAGTTTATGTATCTTTTCCCTGGTATATCATGAATTATTTTCAGTCTTGTAAATATTTATATTCTGTAATGCCTAGAATATAGTAGGTTCTTAATATCATTTTCATATTTGGATTAATTGACCTTTTGCAGAACTTTGAAGGTTTTGCATTGTTTCACAATGGTGAAAATAGATTTTATTGCTTGAACCATAATCTGATAAATAAAAGTTCCCTTTTATAAAGTGATTGACTAGGACTGATGACATGAAAAAAATAGCTGTCAGGTGTGGCTGAACAGTAGCCTCAGCTAACAGTTACAGAGCACTTCCTCCATGCGAAACACTGTACCAAGTCATTCACATGTATTACTTAACTTTCAAGAAAACCATATTAGAACTGCATTTTATAAATGGAGAAAGTGAGTCTCAGAAAGACTATGTAATACTTGACAGTGGGAAAACTAAAAATTCTGCTAGACTGTGGTGCTAATAATCCCACTGTCATTTTCATTGTATATGAAAACAATCATCTAAAAAATTATATAGATTACATGCATGAGTTTTATCTGTGTCCATCTACTATCTGATTATCTAGCAAATTTTTCTTAGTTTTATTAAATAACAAAAGTCAAATTGTAATTATTTTGTAAATGTAGGTAGCAGTTAATCTAGATGGCAACGTATCCTCTCTTGGCCAAATCTACTCTTCATTCTTGTTTACATCTGGCTAGCATCAATTACCACTTTCACACTGGAGAACATTTCAAAAACTGACTCAGTTTCCAGACTTCTTTTAAAAGGCTCTTACGTTCTTGCTCACTGTGGAGAGAAAAATACTGTTACATTCTAAAAAAGAGTTTGAAAAATAGTATCATTGTTTATTTCAAATCTTTGTTAAATCAGAGTCACTGACCCATTATGCATGAATAGCTGTGTCTTATCATTGTCTATGTTATACGTTTGTTTTGATCTCATTTTTTAATCACTTTTTGTTTTTCAAAAACAATGAGGACTCTGGTATTATTTACCATTTGGAAATAAAAGGTCAATGAATAATGTTAAAGAATGTTACTTATATTCTGGGTTTTTGGATTTCCTTAATGAAATTTTTGGTGAATTTCTTTAAGGTCAAATTAAAAAAAACAATAAAGCACTTCAAGGGAAAGATGAACGTGGTAGTCATCCTTTATTTTATCTGGTACCTTACCTGCATTACGAGGTATTTGTATATGTAATTGTTAGTGTTTAACATGTGTTCTAGGCAATGTCATAAAAAATTCACATGATTCCACAATGCAGTACCACACCATATTCACCAGAATGGAACAAATGAAAAATTTTGTTAAATTGTTAAATATTGGTACAGTGCAACAGATATCATGATGGAAATGTATATTGGCACAGACACTTTGTAAAGTACTATCTATTAAAGCTGAAATATATATGTATTCATTCTGTGACCCAGTAAATCCATTCCTAAATATCTACCCAAAAGAAATAAGCACATATGTGCTTATGTATGTATCTACAAAATACATATTTGAATTCTTATAGCAACTCCATCTGCATTTATGCTAAAATATAAACTACCTAAATGACCATCAACTAGTGAACAGAAATGTGGTAGTGTACTCACAAAATTAAATTCTGTACTATATCTCACTAAAAATAAACAACCCATGACCACATGCAAATATGATGAATCACACATACCTAATGTTGAGCAAAAGAACTCAGACCCAAAAGAGTATATATTGCATGAATCCATTATAAACATTTATATAAAGTAGTAAAAATAGCCTATGCTATTAGAAGTTAAGTGAGTGGTCACTTTTGGCAAAGTGAAGTGACTAAAAAGTCTCATGAAGGGAGGGGGTCTCTGAGTGTTGCTAAGTCTTTTGATTCAGGGGCTATTGGCAAAGATGTATTCATTTTAGAAAATTCAGTGAGTTGAACACTTACATGTGTAATTTTCAGTATGTTATATACACATTTAAGTGTGTGAATAACCAATAAATAAAGAGTCATTATATTAATTTAACGAAAAAACAGTTCCTTCCTATACGTGCTAATATTTCCCTTCTAAGGTAGTTAAATATTCTTGGAAGTTGGGTGCATTGTTCCTAAGCACTGTTTTTATGTGTGTGGAGGAGTGTGCAGAAGGAAATGAAGGGGGCATGAAAAATGTTCACCAGAAAACTGCACTTCTATTATAAACAAATTATTTGAATTTTCTTTGAAAGTTTCAGAAAACTCAGGTGATTTCTTTTTAGGTGTTGCTTTTTAAATTTTTATTTCCAAGCAGTTTCTAAGACATGACTCACTATATGTCTTATAAAGTAGCTGAAAGAAAAAAAACAAAAAACAAAAAGGACGACAGGCTTATACTGTGCGTTTAGAATGTTTTGTAGCAGAGTCTTTCATTTTCAGAGGATTCAATTACAAGGAGAGTCCAGGTTTTAGTTGGTTTGGTAACTTTGTGCTTTACTGTTATACTTTGTAAGTCTAATTTTCCTCTTTTTCTCAATAGGTGTGCAGTTCAACTTTCACACCTTTCATTTGGAAGATCATCATGACTATTTACTGATCACAGAGAATGGTAGTTTCACCCAACCCCTGGCACGCCTGACTGGTTCAGAACTTCCTTCCACAATCAATGCTGGTCTCTACGGAAATTTCAGGGCTCAATTGCGCTTTATTTCAGATTTTTCAATATCATATGAAGGATTCAATATTACATTCTCTGGTATGAAAATATATTTTTAAAGCCCTTTAGTAACAAAAAATTGAGTTTTTAAAAGTATGAGCATAAGTTATGTATGACCAAATAGAGAGGGAAATTAACAGAAAAGAAGAAAACAAAGACATATCTGTCAACAAATTTTAAATTTGAAATACGCTGAAGACTGTGTATAGTAGCACATTAAAGGGGGGCATTAAACAGAAGCAAAACTAAATTAATTCTCTAAAAATCTACTTGAAGTACATTAATTATATTGTTTTAACTTGTATTCTTAAAGTATTCCTATCAATAAGAGTTCTACTTTCTAGCTGAGTGGAATAGTGAGACAAAATTAGTTATTTCCTAATGCAGAAACAAATAAGTAAATCTTATGCCAATTTGCTAATATTAAAATTATAATATTACATATATATATATATACACACACACAATTTATATACGTATATATAAAATCATACAGATGGTAATAGTCTTGTTCTTCAAGTATTATTCTAATGTTTGCGTGAACATACTTGTCTTTTAAAATAAGGTATTCCAATAGTAAATCAGTATAATCAATTGTACCCTGGAATGTTAAAAATATGTCCAAAGAAGTTTTTTAAACAACAAAATAATAGTTCATCAACATGAAAAGTTCCTGTTGTTTTCCATTACAATTATATACTAGGTGTGTGCTCTGTGAATATTTTTAGGTAAGCTTCTTCTTAGGACTTTATATAAATTATTTTTTTGTTTAATCAACTCTACCCTCACACCCTGAAGATTGTTTAGCTGTTCATTTTCATGGTGTTCATTCATTGCTTGGAGAGATTTTCTTATATAAATCTATAATATAACAACTTTCAGTGTGTGGGCAGTTCAGGCACACATAATCCCTTGCATCTGAAGTCACATGTTTTTCAGAATATGGCTTAATGGAACTGCTTATAAACTAGAAACACAAGAGCCCTTGTCATTTACTACAACCATTAAGTCAAGTGCATCTCAAAAGTGCAAATTATTTAATTCCACATGATATGTTGTGTTTGAAAATAATTATTCCATTATTATAAGTCACAAATCTATGAAATGGGAAATTTTTTAATGCAGAAGTCATAGCTACATTTTCATTTTATCACCCATCTATATTTTATTTCACATATGTAAAATCATACAAATGGTAATAGTCTTGTACTAATAAAAGCACATATTAAATTATTAGATCTTTTACAAAAGAAGAAAATTTGTGGCATTAGCATGTTTCCATAGTTACACACATAGTCACTTTTTAAATGTGTGCCTGGGCCCTAAAAGCATCCAGTTTGCAAACAATAGGAATGTACCCTTGAAAGTGACTGCTGTCATTTTCTTTGTCCTTCTCTCTGCCTAATTTACAGAATATAATCTTGAACCTTGTGAAGATCCTGGAATTCCTCAATATGGTAACCGAATTGGGTTCAGCTTTGGGGTCGGTGACACTCTGACCTTCTCATGCTCATCAGGTTATCGGTTAGAAGGGACATCAGAGATCATCTGTCTTGGTGGCGGCCGACGAGTGTGGAGTGCGCCTCTGCCAAGGTGTGTGGGTACGTGGTCAGCTGCTTTCATTTGCTTGTATGTGTAGTCACTGTCCATGGAGTTGCATGGTTATACACCCTTTGTTTTTATAATCTGTTGAACTTCTTCATTTATTTCACATTACTTATTTCGATTTTTTTTTCCCAGCTGGTAGTCTAGTATATCTCAGTTAACTTCTCAACTGCTCCATTCAAGCAACCATGCTTCTAAATTTGTTTTCAGATGGTGGGGATAACCAATGGATAGACAGATTGATAGATATAGATAGGATCATTGATAGAATTATATTTTGAGAGCTTGCAGAAAAGTACATTCTTGTATTCTATTGATATATGATTTTCTATGACATCTGACTGAAAATATCTCAACAATATTGTATACATAAGAATTAACATTCATTAAAGATGATTACAAGGGAAAATATGTCAAATAAATAATAGACATTTAAGGGCCATCGAGGCGTGTACTGACTCATTATGTACAATCTATATAATTAATTTATTATGATAGATGAGTTAAGATGGCAATTCAGATCATGTTGTCATATAAGGAATAGCAATAATTAAAGTATTAGAAGTTTGGAGCCACTACCTCAAACTTTGGAAATGAATGTTTGATTTAAAAAAAAAATCTGTAGAGAAAATGCAGGAGCTTTTCATTGGGATTTAAGTCATTCCCTATTTAAATTAGGAAATAGGGAGGCAAGAATTTCTTCAGGTCATCAACCATTCAGTAGGTGACAGTACTTCTTTTTATGATAGAACAAGATGCAAATGGTCATTTTATAATTATTTCATAAAGCTACTAAAACTCTCAAAAGCACAACTTAAACTTGCTGTAGTAGTTAATTTGTCAGTTACAGATCTGTGCATGACACAACATGCTACAAAATCAAGCAAATATTAAAGATTTGAACTGTGGTTCAAGACTTTGTCCTCTTCTACAGATTCAAAATGCCTCAGAGATAAAAATGACAATGAAGAAGATACCCTCTATGACGTATTCAATATATTGTCCACTATATAGAATGTGGGAATTCCTGTGAATCCACAAATCATGTCAAACAATATGATCACCCAGGTTAATGTGGGTCTGAAGACTTTTATAGTGATGGAATTGTTTTCGTGTCCCCTAAGGTTATGTAACACACAAGCTGATGTAACAGATGAAATTTCTTTTTACAATCTCAAGCTTTTTTATAGACATGACACAAACAGCCGCAAAGGCTTGGAGTTGCGAGGTGATGAACAGTCACACTGCAGGAACATCTTTTCCAGGAAGCGACGTAGACTGCAGGCTGTTGTTGTTTATCTTGTCACCAGACTTGGAATTCCCCTTTTTACCTGAATTGTCCCCATTTCCAGTTTTATTTGGTGTGGATATTTTCAAAGCCCGGTTAATGAGAATCCAGGGAATAGTTTAAGTGAGGGCTACTGAGGGCTTGCATTTACATCCTGGTTATTTGATATTGGCTTAATTCACTTTTCTAAACTTCATTTTTCTCATCTGCAAAATGGTTACAGCAGCACTTAATTTGTTGTTATGAATTAGATATGCGTATTAGAAAGAAATTAGCCATGCTCAGATACTTCATACAATCCCTGGAATATAGGAAGGATTCTAAGTTTAGATGTTATTATAACTCTTATTATATTGAGTATAATCTGCTATCTGTCCAGCCCATCAATCTAGTTTGTAAAGCCCATTATAGTAAGAAATAAATCTGATTTTATAAAACACTAACATTTATGAGGGTCTGCTAGGCTCTTTCATATATAATTATCTCATGTAATCCCTACTATAATTCTGTTAGTTTTATTTCCCCCATTTTTCATCAGAAGAAACTGAGCCTTAGATATTTTCAATAACTTGTCCAATATAATCAAGGCTGTAAGTGGGAACCATTTGTATACATTCTCTCATTCCAAAACCCAATTTTTACCCACTAGATGGTTTTAACTTAAAAAGGTCTAGGGAAAGGTGAATTTTGAAGGATTCTAAGTTACGTAAAGTTAGTATTTTCCTTCAAAGTACCAAATACGTACCAGGCTTTTACACAGGCTGAGAAGAAATTGGCTTATACATTTGTAAGTTTTAGTCCACGTGTATAATAAACTTCAGCAAATGGATTTCTGAAAATCTGACTTGACAAAAATTGTCACTTCAAGTTATATCTTGTTTTGTTAAAGAACTTCTTTGGGAGTAGGTTTATTTGTGCCTAAATTTTTAATGGCAAAAATGAAATAAAATCACCCTGTGGACAAATTTAGAAACAAAATTATTGCCATGGGAATTTTCCCCCCATTTTCAAGTTAGCTATGCTTGCTTTTAAGCTTACTGAAATTTACAATTAAGTCTATTGACTTTAATAAATTCCACTGTAGGTATATGTTTAAGTTACAAGATGGGAGAAATATTCCTTGAAATAGAATGAATTTTTTAAAAATTTAGTTATCCAATTTTCTGTAAACTTTTCTTCACTACTTTGCCTATAGTTTAAAACAAATGTGTTTCTTTTTGCATTTTTGGTTCCATATGCATTTGTATACATTTATTTTTTTATCTTTTCAAAGTTCACAATCTTTAGTCACATAAAATGCACATTTTTTTATAACTGTTTATAAAGAACAGACCCAGTTTTAGTTATGCTACTCTATTTGGATAGTTTGTATTTCTTTTTATATTCTTTGTACCTTTCACTTCATGTATCTCTAATGCCAGTTCTCTAGTCCGTACTTCAGTCCTCAGGCATTGCCAGCCCCAGAGAAAGCAGAAAGTCTATGCTGTACACAGTGGCCAAATTATAAATAGGTTGTATACCAGAAGTTTGCTTCTGTTTTAGTTATTTGGAAGCTAGATGCTCTTTTCCTGGCACAATGTTGGAAATGATGGATACATTCCCAGAGCAAACCATAGATGAGGTTTTAAATTTTATGTCAAGTGTAAAAATAATACCAGCATTTACTAAAATGACTTTTGTGTACATTGGTGTATAAGAAGGTGTCTGTCTCTTTGAACAATATGACAACTGATAACCAAAGCTATTTGGAAACTTACTTTTTTTTCTTGTTTTATTTTTCCTTTTCTTGTGTATCTAAAATTGGTTACTGTCTTTCAGTTTCTAGTGGCAAAAATCGGTGAAAATGGTCTTAATGCTGGATGTTAGATGAGTAATTAATAACATTTTAATTTAAGCAATTTTCTGAGTAACCTCTGCATTTATGTCTTAAGGCAGTTTTTAGCAAAATACTAAAACATAATAATACCATATTATGTCTTTAATCTGTAAATGATTGTATCGTGTAATGTCTTCTTCCATTAATCCACCAATGCTGTAAAAGTAGGTTTAGTATAATTATATATCAGTGAGGATATAGTGTCTGTTAAAAAACTCAAGGATGCACACGAACTTAAGGGTAGAGCCATGACTATCTCAGTATTCTGAGTGCCAGGCTTGTGCTGGATTCACAGCAACATGCCACTGTCTTTTACTCGATGTTTCAATAAAATTGGAAGGAAATCTGGTCTAAATTATATTTGTTACATGGCTTCAGAGAACTCCTAATGCTTATTTTATTATGCCCTATTTTAATCAGTGGAAATTCTTCAACTATGACCCATTTATTGAAGGTTACTTAAATGCAGAGAAATTTATAGAGGGAGGAAAAGAATCTTGACAGAAATCAAGGGCGTTAACACCCACTCAGAAATGGGAATTATTCTTCCCAAGAAGTGGCCTCCATTGCAGGCACACAGTTCATATTTATACTCCAGTCTTTCCTAACTTGTGTGACCTTTGAGAAGTTTTCAGATTTCTTTCCTGCCAAGTTTTTTCAAATGTAAAATCTAGGTAATTACACCCATATCACAAGATAGCTTACCTCTAATCAATAAAAACTAAATGTACTGCTCAACCTTTAATACCTGCTCAACAAACTTTAGTCCTTTTTCCTGGTACCTGAAATTTTGTATACCACTGTCTATCCGGTTCTCCTAATGGCTAATGAGATCTCTGAGGAGTGATTTTCACCAACCAGCAATAGAAGAAAGAGATAAGAGAAAGAAGAGATGACAAAATTTGTGTGCCATTTATTAGCAGTTAATTACTTCACACATACAATTTACTACTTAATGATCAAGATGAAAGTTTTACTTTTAAAGAAATATGTATCTGTAATTATGTTTTACATTTTGGAAGAGATAAAAATAATTAGCAGGTAAAATATTTCAGTGAAGATATTTTATATTTAAATGATTATCCAGGGAAGCTGCATTTCTATGGAAATGATATCTGATCACTTTTTTAAGTGGCAGCCAAGTGTCCAAAAGAAAAGGCTTAGAAGAAAAAGTATAACGAAGTTGATTATGTTGACAATAAGAAACATTGTCCTAATTTTGGTCAAGAAATAAGCACCCGATTCCCTTTTCTAAAGTTCACATTACAAAAATCACTGGCATTTCCATGGCATCTTTCTAAATCAAGGAAAAATGTGCAAACCTTCATTCGGCCTACAGATATGCCAGGCACCATGACAGCTCATGTTGCAAATAAACAAGAAGCTAATGAAAGGACATGTTGTTTTGGAAGATAGAATATCAAGTTAAATATAAATAATGATTAATCTTTAGGCAGGTATCTATACACTTTGAGATGGCCACACATTTTCAAGTCATTTTTTAAATCATTCATCCTTGTATTCCCCATTTAAGACATCTACCTCTATTTCTAATTTTGTTTTACATTGATCTCTTATCTGACCTTGAACAGGTAACATAATCTTGCCTTAGTCATAAGTCAGATAAGAAAAATGATAACTCTCTATACATAGCATGTACATATTTCTCTCAGTTTTCTGACTTTTAGATATCTAATAATGCTGATCATTGTTTGTTAGCTTGAAAATGAGTGTTAATGGGGAAACAGGGTACATATTTGGGAAGTCTCTGTGCTTCCATTGTAATTTATCTGATTTTAAAATGAAAAGTTTATTACTAATTCAAAAGATTT